ACTGTGATGGGGCTCAATGTGTGCCCTGTAGAGTCAAGGAAACCGCCTAAGCCGCAGGGCATAAGTGGGAAGCCCTGGGATCGTCTGGAGGTCACCCGGGGCCATCCGTGCAGTGCAGGACGCCAGCCAGAGTCCTCGTGGGGCTCACCAGAGACTTTCAGTGGAGCATTTTTGGTTCCCGTGTTGTGCTTCTGTCATGTGGACGGGCTGAAGGAAAAGCCAAATCCTTGCCTATGATTCAGTTTTGCCACTTTCAGAAGACACCACCAGCCTTGGTGAGGAGGGTGGTTATAAGACAGAACTTCTATTTTTCAAAGTTTTTAAAAATAGAAGACTGAGTGATGAGGTCAATGTAGTTTGCTTTTCCTTGGATAGAGACCCTTCCTCCCACCCCGATCCCCCTCTGACTGTTGCAGAATAGCTCGGCCCAAGGAAAGGGGAGAAGACAAATGAGTGAAATAATGCCAGAATTGGCTGTTGCCAGGGAAAACACACTCCGATTCAGTTCATTTATTCTGTTAATGGCCAAGGCTGTGACTCCCAATTAACTAATTTTACCAAGTTGTAACCGAAAATAGCTACATGGGCCCTAAAGTTAGTGCACCATGAAGAGTAGGAGCTTCAAGTAAGAGAGGAACCCCAACCAGGTGGCAATGCCTGTTTAGGATCATCTTGCTGAGCAAGGACACGACTGGCTGGGGTTTTTCAACAGGGTTGAGCCCCTTCACAGACGTCGTGTGGGGTGAGAGGGGCGACCCAAATATTCTGGCGATAGAAAGTGTCCCACACATTGGATTTGTGAAACTCAAGTTACTAATGACAGAAGTATCCGTGCTGGTGAGTCTCTCTGGGACTGAGACGCCCCCCATGTTCAGGTGGAATTAATTAAAACAGGGGTGTAGTTTGCAATGTTTCCAGCTCCCTCCCCAAAAGGCTCCAAGCACACGACCCAGAACAGCTTGAGCAGCTGAGAAGAGCTGGGCCAAAAATGACTCCACCAGACTCTGTCTTCCCTCTGTCTTTACATTGCAATAGAAAGATAGAATAATAATCTTTTATAAAAAAAAAAAAAAAAAAAAAAAAAAAAA